GTAATTTGTTCTGTGAATTTTTGATTTAAAAAAAAAATTAAAGTTTTTGCATACATTCATATATATATGTATATACATACATACATACATACATACATACATACATACATACATACATACATACATACATACATACATACATACATACATACATACATACATACATACATACATACATACATACATGCATGCATACATACATACATACAAACATAAATACATACATACATACATACATAAATACATACATACATACATACATACATACATACATACATACATACATACATACATACATACATACATACATACATACATACATACATACATACATGCATGCATACATACATACATACATACATAAATACATACATACATACATAAATACATACATACATACATACATACATACATACATACATACATACATACATACATACATACATACATACATACATACATACATACATACATACATACATACATACATACATGCATACATACATACATACATACATACATACATACATACATACATACATACATACATACATACATGCATGCATACATACATACATACAAACATAAATACATACATACATACATACATAAATACATACATACATACATACATACATACATACATACATACATACATACATACATACATACATACATACATACATACATACATACATACATACATACATACATACATACATACATACATACATGCATACATACATACATACATACATACATACATACATACATACATACATACATACATGCATACATACATACATACATACATACATACATACATAAATACATACATACATAAATACATACATACATACATACATACATACATACATACATACATACATACATACATACATACATACATACATACATACATAAATACATAAATACATACATACATACATACATACATACATACATACATACATACATACATACATACATACTTACATACATACATACAGGCTTGGACAGGAATGACGTGGGATCGAGCGCTATTGCTGACCACGCAAATGATTTTATTTTTTGACAACTTGACCACGATTGTTTAATAAACAATGTTTATATGTTTTGATGGTTTAAAAATTTCAGAAATGTTCTGAATGTAAAAACGCTAAGCTAAATTTAAACTAGGAAAAAAATTAAAAAAAAAAAATCACAAAAAAAAAATTTACAACAAAAAAAGAAACGAAAAATAAATTCATAACGAAAAAAAAATTATATAAGCGCTAAAATGAAAATAAAAACTTTGAAAAGCAAAACTTTTTGTTACGATTTTAATTACATATGAAATAAACGTTATTAAAGCTTATCTTTTTAAGTGTTATTAAAGTTATGCAAAACGTTTTTAAATTAAGTAACAAATAACTACCAATGATTGGTTTAATAAAAGAACAAATTTTATTGAATTAATTAAAAAGTGTTTTATATAATATTTTTAAATTGTATAAACATTTATTTTGTCAAAAAAATTGCAAAAAAAAATTATTTAAAAAAATAACGTAGTCTTTTTAAAATAGTAATTTTTACTAATTTCATGCTCTAATTAGTGAGTCTAATTAAAAAAAAGGTTTTGAACCTTTTTATTTGTAAAAATAGAAAAATAAATAAATAAAATGCGCCTGCAATTTAAATAAAATAATTTGCCAACAAGCTTTTTAATTTAATTTTAATTTAAGCATTACAACTTTATTAATAAGCGCTTCGCCTAACAAATTTAAAAATTGTTATAAAAGATTTAATCTCATTCATTTCTAACGAAATTGAAAAAAAAAAAAAATTGTTTACAAAAAATAAAATGTTTTAAAACATTTAAAAAAAGTTTAATCATAAAAATTAATCGTATGAACATTACAAAATGCTTTAAAACTTTTTCATTAAATCAACAAAATACATGCTTGTATAATTAAATAAAGTTATTTTATATTCTTGTGTAATTCACTTAAAATGTGTAAAAGTTGGTAGTCACAAAAGCTTTTGAACTTATTCACAAATTAAGTAACTTAAAAAAATTCTTTCTAAAAATAATGGTTTAAAAATGTTTTAGGAAGTCATAAGAAAATAGTTTCAAACGTTTAAATTTATCATAAAAAATAAATGCCTACATAAAAAAGACTTATTAATTACGTTTTTTATTAATTTGCACAAGCGTTTATGTAAACAATAACTATAATTAATTTTATGGTTTTATTTAAAGCCTTTGCGTAAAATAAAAAGTTAAAGAAAAGATCAACGATTAAAAGATATTTATAACATAACACTTTTTTTATTGCATTCAAATTGTTAAAACATCAAAATAGCCGTGGTCAAGTTGTAAAGAAATAAAAATATTAGTGTAGTCAGTTACAGAGTGCGATCGCACGCCATTCCTGTCCAAGCCTGTATATACATATATACATACTTACACAATATAAAGTCTTCGCATAAGAGGCGTTTGGTCGCATACCTTTTATGATCACAAACATAATACTTTGTTTTGACAACTAGGCCATGGCTCTATGCAAGTTATATTCGATAATTAGTGCTTTAAAAATGTGCTAAAAAACAAAGCAAACATAACTGCAATTTTTAATTTGATTCCATAATTGGTGTTGTTAAACGCGCACTAAAAAATGAAAATTATAATAAACATAGTATATATTCTATATATTTTATTATGTTATATATATTTCAGCAAAACTTGAAAGTTCTTTCCAAAACTTTTAGAAGTGTTTTTAATGTGAAAACAAACATTACTTCACTTTAAGCATGATTTTTATTTAAAATAAATGCATTTGCTTTAAACTTTTAATGTAATTGGTAATTACTTTAAAAGAAACAATGCTTAAAAATTAAGATTGCTTTCTTCAATAAAAGAAAGCAATCATAATGTTTAAGTATGGTTTCTTTTGAAGTAATTACAAAAGCATTCATTTTAAATAAAATTTTGCATGCTTTTGTAAATGCATACAAAAACCATGCTAAAACACAATTACTTTCTTCAATAGCATACTTGGTTATTTTTCTTAAAAGTAACTCTATTGAACAAAGTAATCATGTTTTGGCATGGTTTTTTCAAAAGTCTCAAAATTAATTGTTTTTTATTTTAAATATGTATTTTTTATAATAAATAACTACCAATCACAATAACATTTAGAAAAAAATTGCTGAAGTAATGCGTTCGTTTTGAAAAAAGCAAAATTAAATTAAAACAAAACAATCCATAAACTGAAAAGAGAATAAAATCTAATAAAATTTTTAAAGAATAACAAAAATAAAACCCTGAAGTCCCCATGGGGTCATTCATAAATTACATACGCAGGTATGGGGAGGGGTTCACCTAAAAGCGTACCAGTGTGTATAAGGGAAAGGGTTTACAATTTTTTGTTTGAATTTTTTTCATGTGAAGTCTGGGAAATCAGACAAAAAGCTTTGGTTTTTTCTTTAATGCATTAGTCTATCTACCGGAAGAAATATGTTACTTCGGCTTTGATATTATATAAAAATAATGAAAAATCATGTAGTTTTATTTATTTTATAGCCGTTTTCACAGTTAAATTAATATTTAAACAAGTGTTCATCCTAAGAATTAAATTTTAAAGTTTAACCTATTTCTAAGGTAAGTTATTACTAAAATTTTAGTAACTCTGTCATTAAAAATATTTAACGCATGATTTTTAAAAGTTTTCTCATCCCACTTTCCAAATTTGTAGTTTAAAACTTTTGATTTTTCTATCAAGTTTTAATTTTATAATTTAAATTTTCTTATTTGGACAAACACATTTCGAAAATAGTAAACATTTCAATCTAACCATTAGCATTAATGACTTCATAACTTTCCATTCATTATTTGTACAAAACAGAAAACTACTTTCTAATTTAACCTGAACAAGCGATTTAATTATTATTAAGTGAATTATTTTTTATATACTTGATTATTTACTTAATAAATTTATAATAGACTTAAATAATAGACTTATACTAATGTAATATAAATTAGTGTAAGTATCATATATGTATATATATATATATATACATATATATATATATATATATATATATATATATATATATATATATATATATATATATATATATATATATATATATATATATATATTTTAAATTATTTACCTTCTTAAGGCCTGAGGGGGCCACCCTCAGGCCTTAAGAAGGTAAATAATTTAAAAATCGTGGTACAACCCTCTCTCAACTCTTTAACTCCAAAACATGAACCTAGACAAGCAAGACCGCTGCACGGAGAAATTAAGTTAAGCGCGGTACTTCCAGGGACATGGTGGGAGTCGAACTTCGAACCTCTCGCTTACAAAGCGAGCGCTCTTACCACTACACCACTACCGCATATATATATGAATATATATGTATATATATATATATATATATATATATATATATATATATATATATATATATATATATATATATATATATATATATATATATATATATATATATATATATATGTGTGTGTGTGTGTGTGTGTGTGGTGTGTGTGTGTGTGTGTGTGTGCGTGTTTGTTACACTTGTTCTAATTTTTAGTTTCGTTTAGCTTCAACTTTTTTAATAAATAGACTTTATTATAAGCTTGACCAATTAAAATATATCAGTAAAAATATTTAGTTAGTTAAATTATATTTGACACATAAGTATTTGATATTTGAATGTTTTGAATTTGATTTGATGTTTTGGAATTTTAAATATAATAATCATTAATAAATAAAATGTTGTCGAATCTGTACAAAATCAAAGCTATTAATAAGTTTTTGTTTTGTAAATTATAAATAAAGTATTAAGCTAAATATTTTACTTTTAAGCATTCAAAGTTTGGAAATTTTATTGAAGTGTTGCAAGTTTTGATATTTTATCACATAGACTTTTATGTAATTCAAAGTAAAAGCCCTATTTAAGTGAAGTTTTTTGTCAAATTGACCTAAAAAAAACTTGCACTGAGATTT